CATCACCTGCACCTACTACGAAGGCGGAAGAAGAAGAGGAAGAGCCACAGAAGAAGAGCTGTTCGATTTGGTGTTGGATACAAAAGATTGCTATGTTTGTTATATCTCAATTATTAAGCAGTTAATAATGTTTTTGAGAATATAATGTGGCTTCGTTAATAATAAACTACCGGAAAAGGTGTGTATTATTATCGTGGTATTATACTGCTGAAAGACTACCTACGTAGGTATGGATAAATCTATAATAATATTATAAAGAAAAGCAGTAATGTTGCTATCTTTCCCACAGCGTTGAGCGCGTTCTCTCTGCGATAGCGAAAGTTAATAATTTTTGCAAAGGCCGGTCATTGAAATGTAACTGTAAGAAACATAATATAACTGCAACAAAAAGCTGTAACAAAATGGCGGCTTACATATTTCCGAACAACCTAACCAATCCATATTGGTACCCATGTACTCTGGTAACTTAATTCTAATGTTGGAGATGGGTGGCGCAATGAAAAACTGGTAGAATTCTTTAGTCTTGATTTACCAAAAATTTATTATATCCCGTTTCACTTCTGCATTGCAAACCGAACTACAAACTATGTACTAATAATTTATACAAAAAATAATTTATACTACAAACTATGTACTAATAACAGCGACGTCGTCTCCGTAATTCATAGCTTATCAAAATCTCAACTGATTATTTTCAATAATTTAAGTTTTTTAACGCTTGACGCTTCACAAGTCAAAGACTTAGTTTTATCAAACGAAAACCTCTTTAAATGATGTTTAAGTAGGTATGTTCAGAGACGCGCTTAGATTTAAATTCGCAATTCAGAAACCGTGAGCATGTCTCCTGCGTATATAGATTGCGGTAGATGAAAGAATTTTCATGATCGGATCTGTTTTTCCGAAGTACAAACAATGTTCGAAACTTTACCTCTTTATTATATAGAAAATACTTTCGCACATAATAGCTATGCGACGCACCAACGAGAGTTGTGTAAACATTTTTAAGAGCAAATCGTATCAACGTAAAACTGGGGCTGAGCTGAAATCTCATTGTTCGAGTGAACGATCGCGCTGTTTACAAATTCTAGTGCACTCAAAAATAGTTTCTCTTTTCTGTCTGTTAAAAGATAGAAGGTTTTAAAATAGATCTCAATTTTGACAAACTTTCATTTAGTTTCAATTGTCCTGACGATTGTCTTTCTGTAATAAAATATTGCAATCTAAACATTATTCACTTGACAGTGTCCGTTTTAGCTGAAATTTGAAATATAACTTTGGTTCTGAAGGCAATGCAATTATAATTATTGAAATTATTATTAATCCAAAATGGGCGCTGTAACAAAATGGTGGCTTACATATTCTCGAACAACCTACCCAATATGGGTACCACATGAAAGGGCTTTACTTTTATAAGTACAATACATAAACAAAAGCGTGTCTAAAAAAAATTTTTTTTTTCTATAACTTCGATCTTGCAGTGTGAAGGTTAAGCAACTTTCACAAAGGCCGGTGGGATAATGGGTGGCTATAAATTTATTATGTTGCGTTCCTCCGCGACTCGCAAGGCACGTTAACCCGTTAATACCAGCTGCATCTACAGTTATTATCACCCTCCAATATTTTTTGCGTTAATATGTAGTAGCATGTACAATATTTACTTTTACGGTGTCCTTTATTCTTCATTCATTCATAAGTAGACAAGGCTTGTGGCCCAAGCAACAGAAATATAAATATGCCAATGATGATAAAGTCTAATTTGGATTTCTAAATTATTAATATAAAATAATAATAATAATATCATCTTATTTATTGTAGATCTTCATTACAACTCATCTAACCTAACATTCTGTATATTTTACCATCATTTTTTCCGTCAAGGGCTCATATCAATTTGTTTGATATTAACCACTTAAGATACAGATGAGTCAGCTCGACTCGCCTTTCGAAGCACCTAAGAACGCGAATCAGTAAATTTTTAGACACCCATCCAACGAGCCTGCTTGGCAAAAGTCACTTTACATTTCCAATCGTAGATCGCGCTTACCACTTCACCATCGAGCTTCCGTATATTGACGACGAATACGGTCTTTATATTTGTTTGGCTATAGAGACTTTCTGCAAGTAAACGGTCTCCCGTATTTCCCACGGGAAATAGCATTCTGTGGACAGAGTCGTTGGTATGGACTTGTAAATAAAAATAAGTCCAAAGGAATTCTGAATTCTACACTGAAAAGATGATGTTAACGTACAGTACTACCTGTTTAGATTTTATTTTGCCGCATTAACATATAACAAAATTCAAAGAGAAATTGAAGAGGAGCTCAGTCTGCGATATGGTACTTACGCAACTTCCGCAATGGCCTTTCTTAAAATGGGTGACCGAAAATATATTTTTTCGAACTCCTCCGTGCTTCGAAAGGCATGTTAAGGCGTTGGTCGCGGCTGCATCTGCAGTCATTAATACCCGCAAATACGCACTATGCCCGCATGATGTGTGACGACCCATTCTCCTCCGTTCAATTCGTTTCCATAAGGAAGGCCTGAGCCCCAGCAGCGGTGTAAAAATGATGATTGTTTGTGATAAGTAAACTCAAATACTACTGTACCAATTAAGTATCTATTCATGTGCTTAAATAAAAAAGAAAATAAAAATATTATTTTCCACTTTATAAATGCTCGTAGGTTACAATTACTCGTATTTACATTACACATTCCTGTGATTTAGATGTTTTACTCTTTTAATAGATGTCTGTGCCTTTATGTGAAAACTCCACAAATACCAAAAAGAAATATTTCTGTGAAGAATTCTATATTTAAATTTTCAGTTTATCCTATTAGTATTATAAATGTGGAAGTTTTTTTGTTTGATATTTGTCCGTCAGTCATGCTGAAACTAGTGAACGGATTTTGATGAAATTTTTTGTACAAATAGAGTATAAGCTGACTTAGATAATAGGATTCTTTTTATCTCACTAAACATTTCCATAAGGACCACGCGGATGAAGGCTAATAAGTGTATATCTACTTTTTGTGATATAGTTTTGTTAATTAATAGTAAGATTATTATAACAATTTCTGTTACAGAAGAGGAATTCTTCGTTAAGGAAAAGGAAACATCTTTCTCACTTCATATTAAGTTCGTCGTACGAAGCCTTGTAATAATACCTGTGTAATATAATAGCAGGTTAATTGGGAACTGTACTGATCCCTTCACAGATATATTTCTGAGTACTTTAATATCTTATTGCTAACTATGTATATCCACGCGCGACTTTTAATAATTTTCAGTAATTTTATCTCTAAGCATATTTATAGAGCGTGAGTATTATGCATGAAAATTAAAAACATAACGTTTGAATTAAGTAAACAAATATCAAACTTTTCAACGTACAAACCCGCAGATGCAGAAATGGAATTATAAAAGCGCAGGTGCAAATATGGAATTATAAAAGAAAAATGAATTTGAAAAGAGTTTAGGTATTGTTTTTTTTTAACTTTATATGTGTGCATAAATTTTTCAAGTAATATTTTCTGGAAATTGATTGTGGATATGAACATCCGCATTGGTACCTGCATCAATATCTTTGCACTCCTTTCGTATAGACAGTTCTGATATCATAAATGCGAAAGTAACTATGCCTGTTACGTTTTCAACCTTAAGGGCGAGGCCCCATTAGTGCGTTGATTCGCTTAATTGCAACGGAACAACGCATTATATGCCACACCTTCATGACGCAACGTAACACAAGAAGGTATGCCTCGTCCTCGAGCAGTGCATCACTACCGTCGTCGTCGCAGCCAAACTCCAACAACGTTGCGCATCACCATCCGTCCCGCTTCGTCTCTTGTCCGTCGACTGATGAAACGTCGCACGCGTCAACGCAACGGTCTAATAGAGCATATCATATAAAATATATGGAAAATGACGCAACGACAATGCTACGACGGCGCAACGCACTAATAGGGCCTCACTTTGAACTGCTGAACCAATTTTAATGGGATTTGATAAGCAGATAGAGTGAACTTTGGGAAAGGACATAGGATAATTTAAACTTGCAAAAAATTGGCTTAGGAGGATTAAAATAAATAACAAATATACGAAGGGCGTTAATAGATGTATTCACGCGGGCAAAGTCAAGGACGGAAAGCTAGTTATTTCACCGACTCTATATCTGAGGTCTTAAAGATTTATTATTAAGATGTTTTTTTAATATCGGATTACTTAATGCTTGTCGGTAAAATGGAAAAATAATATTCTGTTCCGGAAATAAAAATAAAAAACACATCTTTAGTAAATTTATTGAAAACACGTGCCATAACAGCTATTTATTTAAAAAAATAATTCTTTTCTATCAGAATAGCCATATTTTTAATAATGTATATTAATTATACTTGCCCAATATTTTCTATTGTGGTCACACAGGCGTATAATTAATTTTCAATCATCATTTCAAAAAGTACCAAGGGGTTGATAACCGGACAATATACAGGCGGCTGCACGTCAGGATACCTCAATATCTATTCTTAACATATTAAGGTTTAAAAAGGAGTCCTGCTAACTGTACATAAATCATATAAATATGGAGCCTGCAATAAAATAAGGACTTGCCTTTATCCCACCAACTGCATATGCCTATATATAGCTAGCGGTATTATAAAACATGTTTAGGCAAAAATACGATGATTATTATTATTATAGAACACTAGATTATATAACAGTGCTATTAGTGAAATAAGCTACGAACTTGATGTCGAGCAGAGCGTTGTCACAGCATCAAAGATCAATTAAATAAAACCTATTTCAAAAGATAATAAAGCTTTTATTTCATTGAATCTCTATGTTAGGACAGTGTTGCTAGACGTCAAGTCACATATTTATTATGTATTGAAAGAAGTCAATATACAGATTACATTTTGTATTAAACTATTTAAAAGATAGAGTATCGATTAAGTCGCAATAGTGTAGCTATAATTATTTTTCGTTCATATTGTGCTAAAGTCTACTTTAAGAGGATCCTATATAAATGCGTGCAGTCGTTGAAAACTTTTGCCTTTTTGCATACATCTTGCTTGTGCTGTGTAGCCTCTGCGCTCTCAACACAAGAACTGCCAAAGTCACTAACCAGGCTACGTTGATCCAACTGATGAGCTACTTGTACTCGTTTTCTGAAATAAGAATTTATATTAAAATTCGTCCATCAGATCCATCTTTTATGTCATACTCTTATTATATAGGACATCGAGTGGCATAAAAACACATATTTAAAATTCGATTTGGAAAGTCATAATCATTTTTAAGAATAAATTGTGTATGCATAATAATTAAAATAATTTCGCAGAAAGTTTACAATCGGAATCATCATTTGACATACTTTTTATATCTAATTTTTTTTTAAACACGTTGTTTGGCAACATCAGTGTTTGCAGCGTTTGCTGCGTTGGCTGCTTCAGCATGCTCGCTTCGATCGCTCAATCGCAGTTCTAACCTAACCAAACGTTAGATTGCTTCTTATTTGCTATGCCAAACGACATGATTCTAATTTAAATTAAGCAAAGGTAAATAATTTCGGCATAACCATGCCAAAAGTATTCTGCCATCTTAAAAGTATGCAACTGCAAATTCGTGAATATTACAAAGCATTTGACCAATCGAAATTATGCCTAATATTTTTTGCCATTTAAAGTACTCGTAAAAGAAAATCGTGTAGTTTGTTATGCCAAATAAGATTCGGAGCAATGAGATTCTGCCAGATATCATTAGACTCAAGTGCTTGAAACAAACTTCGAACCCTACTTTCGGCTACTCGAGGCTATAGCGAAGATGTTATAATTCTCAAGCACTTATTACTTTTACTAAAAAGATAAACGTTGTTGAAACAAACCTGTATATATCCAAGTTAATAGCACCATTAGGCGTCATAATACCGAGCTTCTTTAGCACGCAGAATATGATACAGGGTTCGTCAGACTCTTGGACAATTACGTGTTTCTTAGGGAACATCTCGTTGAAACACTGCTCCGCGACTATATCACTCAGTTTGTCGTGGGCATACATTACTGCGATCCGGGCGTTAGCCGAGAATGCCGTTAGAAGCAGAAGCAGAATTGTACCTGAAACAATTCGATAAGGTCTTTTAAATGTCACCTTAAACCTCATGAAATTCCTTACACTAAGAAAACAATATTTTACGGAAGATCGCATTTATTTTGTTGATAACCAACAACGAAATATAAGTTAGTTGACTTAATTTTGCTGGTTAATACAAAATATTTAAATCCATACAATGTTACCAATTTTAATCTACACATTTGTGATTTTTACCATCTGGCTGAATTATTAACTCAAACTAGCAGTGTAAGTATTAACAAAATACTTCATATCTCGATAGCGTCATTAATATTTCTTGTAGTTCCTTGGTTGATTTATCAAATATGTTTTCCTTATAGAAAACATTTCTCTATTTCTTCACCCTCAGGTGAGACGCCCAGAATGCTACGAGCATTGCTTGAAATATCAATTTTGGGGAAAGGAAAAATAATTGACAATCGCTCAAACTCATCAGCAACATCTGTTTATGTCTTGACAAATGATGGCCATAGACATTGTTGTTATTTTAAATGTCTGTGGTATAGTTATTTGTTTTGATATGCTGTAAACATTGTACATTATATGGAGCATAAAGAAAGCAGAAAGTTGAATGTCTAAACTCGCACGGCACCAACGCACGGCACGCATAGGATTGTAAGGAACTGTCAAGGTCATACACTCGAAAGTTTTGACATAACATTGCGAAGTAGAGTAATGGTACTGCGAATTAGAGTGAGTCTATGGCCATAATCCGTACGACGACGTTATTGGACATGCTACACAAATTTATGCAAACTTATAGTAAATCCGTTGCGTGTGGTGCGTCCGTTGTGTACATGCGAACAAAGTGGTCGATTATGTTTTGTTTTAGTGTAGATGCTTCATTAAAGAGAGACAGATATGATTCCTATGACCTACTCTTTGATTCTATCCTTGGAATATTTCTGATTACAGGTAGCCGATACTCTGCTCTACTCTACGACTTACGACTCAAAAGACCCGATTTTGGCCATTTTAAAAGTAGGACACATCACAATTAATAATGCAACATTTTCAAACCGATCAGGAACGGCTTATGCGGTTCAAACCCCTTGTAGTGTTATATGGCCAAAAAAGGCGCAGGGTTAAAACCAGATCTTCTGCCCCACATCTATGATTCTTCTCAGCTGTGTCAACGTTAATGACAAAAGAAGTTCTCGAACACTACTACTATTTATATCAGAAAAAAAAACATAAGCATAAGATATATATTTTTCGATGTTATGATTGATAACGTAAAATAATCAATTTTATCGAGATTCCCTATGATTTATGGCAAAAAACGAACAAAATATTCTATTTCCAACTTACTTGTAGATATTGAATATTAATATTGTTTTTGTATATAAAATAACAACAACATAATTGATAGTTTCGTCGAAATTGGATAGTCGCCAAGTCCATTAGGATTTGCACTATTATGTAACAGTGAATTTTAATCGAGATCTACTTTATATATATATATATTTTCTTTAATCACTTTCATCAGAACTTTTTAGGCACAAGAGAGATGACAGGTGTTTTGGCTTTATTTTTTGATGATATGAGGAGCTGAATGTTTGATTGTTTATGATTTAAGTTAAAATCAGAGAAGAACAGAATATTATTTTCTAAATAAATTTAATGGAGTGTGAAAGAGATTTCTTTTTTCTTTATTTACTTCTTTTTTTTTATTTAGTCTGCAAATTTAAGCAATCTCTTTCACACAAAAGACTTCACTATCAACTTTAAAATTCTGCTTGCGTAATAATTAATAATGTTATCCACGAACTTAAAATTCACGGGAATCGTTATAAATAAAATAAAAATATTAAAACTTTTATCAAAAATTTTTATTAATAAAATTATAAAAATAAAGCAAATTTACTAAAATATTTACTATTTACCAATCGTTTAGTTCCGTAAACGAAATGGCGTATAGTTGAGTACAATCGTTGAAAACCTTCGCCTTCTTACAAACGTCGTGGTCCAAATTCATGCCGTTTATATTTTGTGCGCAAGTGTCCCCCACGTCAGATATAAGAATTCTAGGATCATACCTATGTATAGATTGTACCCTCTTGTAATAATTACTAATATTTATAAAGCCGTCGTTGGTCATTATTCCGAACTTCTTCAATACACAATGTATTATACACGGTATGTCATTCCTATCTATATGTAAAGGGTACTTGTAGAGGTTCCTTGGGTACATTTCTGTTAGGCATTCATTTGTTACTTTATCACTCTTCTTGTCACGGGCGTATAATATAGATATCGAAGGTTCAGAATCCATACTTTGCGAAAAGAATTTAGTTTTATATCCTCTTACTGTTAACGCTAACCACAGTGTTGTGAAGATTAATAATTCTGTAAAAGATTTTCTTTTTATTATGATACAATGAATTTTTCTCGGAATAAATCACAATTATTTTGTATTACATAGATCAAAATACTTATTCGCCAAGTTTCCTGATTCTTGAGAAAATCACCCTAGACACAAGTACATACACTATTGTTATTACTTCAGTCCTTTCGGGATAATATTGGCGCTTAAGTGTGCGACATAGAGAAAATTGCTCGAAATTAAATATACCTAAAAGTAGTTTTTTTACGGAGTATATCACATGAGTAAAGGTTATCAACGAAGCTTCTTCCTGGGACAAATTATAATAACACTGAAGGTTATGTATAATGTCTAGTTTACTGTATTGAGCCGATTGGGAATTTAATGTCAACCTCCGCCATTTGTACACAGATATTGTTGTACTTTCAATTGGAGAGATGGATCAAGATATCCTTTATCACGGTTGTAAAGGTATCTACGCCAACTTTATAAATAGGTATTACGTGCGATCAATATATTTTGTGTGTAGAATAATACTTTAATAAAGATAAACAATCTTTCACTTAGACTTGTCGCAATAAACATTTTCTTCTCAATTAATGAATTTCAAACCACACTACATATTATTTTTTTCTCATATTCGATTAATAAATATGAGAAAACCGTAAATATGTACAGATGTTCTTTAATTAAAAAAAAAAACAAAGTATCATTTGATGAAATTTGACCGTGTAAATATTTTAAATGAATTACTCGAAAATGGTTTCAAAATGATAATTTCAATATAAAAATGAATACAGTTACTTAATAATGATCGATATAATTTACTTTATAATAGTTGTGATAGAAGAGTTTACAATTTATTTTTGAACGATGCTTGAAACGTTCGATGAATAGAACGATGAAATATAATATAGTTTTGTCTTGGTTTGCAAAATATTATTTATTAATGCATAATAACAAATACTTACTGTCCATTTTCCTTTTTTTACTTTAACAGTTAAAACACAAATCCGCAAAGGTATATTCTATAAAACCATTTTTGCGCGAATATACCGCGAAAGCTCCGATTTCCAACTGAAATTCGATAAATTCGTTTTCAATACGACCTGTAAGTAAATTGTTTCGTTACAACAAACCTGTATGTTATATATACTTTGGCATTTCAGTATAACAATCACTCATTGTTCTTGAAAAATCGCGATAAGAACGCGAAATTTTGTAAACGGAAATACATGTACTTCGTAATTCAACAGGTGTTGTATAGATATGAATTTAAAAACAAAATTTCGATAATGTTCATGTAACCACCACATACATCGCCTCTTCTGTCTGATTCTAAAAAATAAACTCAAAAATTACTTAACTGATTTCTATTGTCATCTTATTATTATTTCTTAGTATTGATGGAATATTATCAAGTATTTCAGCTTGCGTTTTTCATCTTGTTCCTAGGGTCAACATACTTTTTATGTCTATGATCTAAACGCCATTTTTCTTTATGCCTATTTCGAAATTTTTAAATAAGTACATTATCACGGTATCAAGTAACTTTAATTTTAAACACTCAAATAAATAGCTAAAATAAACTTGAATTAGAAACAAAATTATTCTCTGTAATTTGATAAAGTCGCTCAAAATCGTATCTTAAATTAGAAATTTAGCGTTAATACACTTGTAAATACTAATAATTTGCTTATATAATGTTATAATAGAACGTAATCTAATCTCCCCTCAATTAAATAATGAAGATTCGTTAAGAGCATCGTTAAGTTTGCACGGAATGACAATTGTTTACAGCCCTATTCTGATAGCATAACTATTATTTAATCTGAGAGTATAACAACGTACCACCAGCTAGATAATAAAAAGTTATGAGAAGAAGGGTAAGAGCAAGATAATTGATAAGAAGGTATTGGCGATGGGCCACAATAGCAACTGTTTACGAGCATGACACAATGACTTCATATGTTATTAAATTGGAACTTAATACTATTATTATAAAGTTTATTAATGGCTGCAAACTTCGTCCGCTTTGTTATCAGGTAATGAATTATACTCTATATATCAATAGAAATAGGAATTATTCCAAGTCAAAGTGTTCTTAGTAAGGTCACGTTTCTCAGATATTATGGCTGAGCTTAAAAACAAAAGAGAAAACAAAAGCTCGTCAATGACATAGGGACATAGGTCGGCGTCATCATCATCACCACGAACCTATTAATGGCCTCACTTTTGGGGCTCAGAACCTTCCCTATGGATAGATCAAATAAAATCCAATGGGGAGAACGGGCCATCATGATCCACCACACACAGTCGGAGCAGATTGGTGAGTGTTAACGACTGCAGATGCACAGGCCCGGATCTTTTGGGGGGACGTGCAAGTAGGAGCACTTGCCCCGGGCTCCAATGTTATGGGGGCGCCAAAATCATCATTATATAATACCTATTTACAGACTTCACGAAGCGTAGCGGGTAGAGGTAGGGCGCAATTCGAAGTTTCTAATCAAATTATAAAAAATCATAGATTCAGGTGCAGTAGGGGCCAAAGTCTTCATATTCCTTCCGAAACATGGATGAGATGAGATTATAATTTATTATTATTTCTAAACCATTACAATTAGGAAAAAGTTATCAAACATATTTGCCTTTGCCTATCAAAAAAAAATAATATAAAGGTTTTATTTCATTGAAACTCTGTGCTGTGACAGTTATAATTGCTAAGCGCTATTGACGTCGAGTGCAAAGTTATTTTAATACCAGAATAGCACTGCTAAAAAATAATGACGGCACTCTTCTCGCTCTTTAATGAAAGTCAAATTGAACACGTTCGTCTCTGTCTCTTGCGTGGTTTCATATATACTAATTTTGTTGATAGATTATAGTGGGAAACCAAAGGGATACATTATTTGTTGTAAAATTATTCATATTTTTTTGTATTATAAATATTAAACAACATCACATACATTGCTTAGACACCAAAATAAAAATGGACATAGCACTTATTATGGAATTATGGGAAACTGAAACAGCGAAACCAACACAATACCCAGACTTGAGACAATTTCGACTTTACAAAACCGGGAATAAAACCGATACCCTAATGATGGTGACAACACTGAATTAAAACGTAAATTTACAAAATTCACCATTTTTCCACTGCGGTAAAATTAATAATTATAAGAGCCACTTTGTAGATGAGGAAATTATACAGTCAGTTTACAATTATTACAATACTTTGAGATTAATTAATTTAAACAGTTTCTAACACAAAATGCCAAAAGCGAAACTAGGTCTTAGGTTCAAACTTTCATGGTCCGGATTCGGACCGCGGTCCACCTGTTATAAACTTTGCACTAGACCATACTAGAGCAGTACGTGCACCACCAGTACACCAGAACGTGCTGAGCTCTAAACAAAAAAGATACAAATGCTCCATCAAATTTATCTTACGTTCGCATCATTTGCTAAACCGATACCAGGGGATTCGGAGAACGTATTTTATAGGCTTTTAGGGGGACAGGAGACAAAGCCGTAAAAGTTTCTTATCTGCCAGTTTTATCTGTTCTTTTTACTACTTCGAAGGCACGTTCTTAACAAGTATTTGGTTTGGTGAGGGTTCACGGTGTCGATTACGTAAGTAATATTTAACCTGAGGTGTAGGTTTTGTTTTTGCATACTATATTAAATTATCAAATGCTAAATTAATTAAGAATTTCGGCTTATTATACTAAAACCAATTTACTATATTAAAAAGTCGAAATTCTTAAGATATGTATCTAAATTGCCTGGATGCTCGTTTGAGCAGTAAGCAATAACCTGACCTAATGACCTAATGTTTTCTTATATTCCTCATCTTTGAAGACCGACGATATATAATCGGCAGACACAAATATATTTAAAACATCATGAGTCATTCACGCACAACTCAAGACAGCCAATTAAATACAAAACTTGTTAAAACAATAAAAATTTAATCAAAAAAAGGATCAAAATAAAAAATATAAAAACACATCTCTGTAGTAAAGCTATCGTCGATAATGTTAATTGGTTTTAAAAAGACATCCAATCATGCTAGATGAGTGTTAGTTTGCTATGCTGTAATAAAATTAACGCTGTATATGACATTGAGTTGAATGTTGATCAATAGGCAGAATAACATTGCTGATTGGTGGCAATTATATTCCTCCCTACATAATTATCGATAGCTCGATTAGTAATTGCTTATTAATTATGCTTTATTCTTAAGTGTTACCTCCAAGTAATATCACACTAAGTAACTTTCTGACATATCTTTAGCGGCACTTCTTTCTGTCAATATTAATTTAAAAAATAAATAAATAATAGATCTATAGCGTATTTTATTTTAGATTTTATACGAACTTATATTGAGAAAGAAAAATGATACTATACCGATCTGAATACAGAATTTTTACTCAGGAATCACCCACGTAAGTTTACCTGATGCACAAGTGAGCACAAGCGTAAAGGGGGACCAAAAGAGGCAGGCCCACCCTACAATCTTTCGAGGCCACCCTGGAAGGTGGATTGATCACATGACTACGTATGTTCAGTGGATTAGCTACCGGAAGTTCCAGGCTTACAGGATTTACATATCTTCAACTGTAAGAGCTTATTTAACGCACTCCGGAATTGTGATCCTATAAATTTAGATATTATAATAGTTTGTAAGGACCACAGGTTTGTAAAAAGGTTACATTACCGATCATTCGTGAATAGATAATCTATCAAAATAATAAGTTCTAGAGATAAATCTTCGCATTGGTATCCATCTTAAGACCATGGGTGGGTTTAGCATGAGTAACATATCGTTGTAACGACACCTGTTTTATCAGAGAAATAGTACTCTTTATTCTTAAACTATCCTTTACTCTGTCTGAATCGATTTAATGAAAGCATAGAATAAATTTGATGCCGGGTACCAGTCT